ATAACTGATAACTTTACAAAAGGACATTGATTCAATAGAGAAAATGCCATTAAATGTGTGTTCTGATGTTTCATTCTAGTAATAGATTCAGTGTCTTACTATTGATCTTTGTCAGGTTACTTTATTTCATTGATGGACTGCCTAAAGAACTTCAGAGGTTCTTAAAGTTGGAAAAAAATCTGTCCCCTCACATTAATTCAAAAGAGAACAACAAAGTTCTGATTTGTCTTAGATGATTTTTCAATGCTTATTTGAAATACCAAATATGCACTTCTTACAAAAGACAGTTTTGGTGCCTCTGCTTTGCATCACATACTTAGCCATGAAAAAAATGTTCATCTATAAAATTTATAATGTAAGGGATGGAATTTCTATAGTTCTATACATCTCTAAGTTTCTATATAATATGAAAGTAGAATGAGATAAACTATAGACATAGATATATTTTAAGTTTTCTTCTTTGATTCTGTGCTTGTAAGTATGTTCTGTAGAATTACTCCAGAACAGCCTTCACTTCATGATTTAAATCACAGGCTTTATTACAGATTCAACAACTACTATCTCAGATTTCTTTTCTAGATGAGTAAAATTACAGAACAGAGGCTCCATTACATGTAGGAAAATACTCAAAAAGCTGTTTTTAAGTATTTGACACTATTCTAACCGAGAAAGTCATAAAGTGGAAAGTGGTACACAGATCTTACTGCTTTTGAAAACAGAAGTAAAGAGCTTTTTCACTATGCCCTGTTCTAATAATTTCATTCATTACCAAATTTGTTTAAAGGTTTATGTTATATTAACCTGTATCCATCCAGTCTTAATTTGTATTTTATCTTCTAGTCCCTAGTGTGACTCTTTTCATGCAGTGTGTTTAAATATTGTTAGCTGAATTATGGTTTCATTTTGAAAACTGATACACAGTATTGTAATTATGTATCTTTTGGATTACAACAAAGAATTCAAACTTTAAATGTAAGTCACCAATTATAAAAGGAACCGATCTTATAACATGCACTATTGATTTTGCCCTTTTTGCTCTCTATGAATAGTTAAGATCATACTCAGATTTCTTGGTTGAAAACCATTAAAAAAATCCAATGGAAAGTTTTAAAAAGAAATTTTGAAACCATTTAAACAGCTAAGTAAGAACTTAGGAAATTGATATGAACCTCATATTAGATATACAATTATTTCTAACATTAGTGTAAATTTTCATTTCTTTTCCATTCCTGAACTATGACAATGTGTGAAAAAAATGACCTAAAGAAGCTAATTTTGATACTGTAATAATTAGACATCATTTTTATTGCTGTATTTTAATCCTTTATGCCACTAGAACTGTTTAATTTTGTCAACATGAAAACCTTACTGGTTATTTTATCCTATCTTATATATTGCTAGAATTAACTTTTTTTATTGTTATATGTTTCCTTTAAAAATATTCATATTACCCTTGAGCTATTACCATCACCGCAGTCACCTCCTTTGTACCTAGGTCCGTTTTCCTAGTTACCAGAAAAATAAATCTGTAACTACTTGCCTTCATTCTTACTGAAGCTCTATCAGGCCCCTGGTCCCACTTTATTCAAATTTGCTAGAGTAGGAGAAAAGAGAGGTAGACGGGGAGGATGTCTCCCATGACTTACCATGTGCAAATTTTACTACCTGAAATTCTTTAAGGGATAATTCCTCATTCTTCAATCAAAGATTATTAAACCTTATAATCACTGAAGCGTATCTTAGTCAAGAATTTATTGCAAGCTACTTTACGCTTTCATTTTTCCCCCTTAATTTCTACATTAATGAATAAATTAGCTACTATGGTTCTTTCAAACCTTCCAGACTTTCCAGATCTCATGGAAATTTTAATCTGTTTAAATCATTTTAAAGCAATCTTATGGATCTCTACTGAATACTTTATTTCTACAGCTACTATCAATGCTTTACAGAGTTGATCTTCCTTAATTTCTCCAAAGCCTCTCAAACCTCAAAATTTAAGAAAATATTATCAAATAGCTGACCTTTTCGTGGTCCCAGGGTCCTGGGATTGAGCCCTGCGTCGGGCTCTCTGCTCGGCAGGGAGCCTGCTTTCCTTTCTCTCTCTCTCTGCCTGCCTCTCTGCCTACTTGTGATCTCTGTCTGTCAAATAAATTAAAAAAAAAAAAAAAAAAAACAAATAGCTGACCTTTTAAGTGTCTTTACTGCTCACTCATTTTTTCCCTCTTCTGTGATGCATTCTTTTTAACCTACTATCAAGAAAAGTCTCAGAGACTAGCTAGCACACTACCTAAATGGACACATATACAGATTCACCCTATTATTCCCTTTCTGTCATTGCTCACTACATCTCTTCTATTGTTGTATTTTGTTAAAAAAAAAAAAAACTATAAAAAGATAAGGTATTTTATCTTATGCCCAAAGTTTTCCCAATATTAGCTTGTAAATTATTTGCTAATCTAATATCTCTATAAACCAACAATCAGAAATTTATCAACCACCAGGGAGCTATGGATATTGCATCAAAGACCAAAGTAGCAGTGGCAACTGAAAGGCTACTTTATATCCTTTCTGCCTTCCATAAAGCTGAGCAAATCTGGGTCATTACATTCAGCAGGGAGCTTTGAAACACTTTCCAACTTTGTGCTGCATGATGATGAGTGTCTTTTGACCCAGTTTTGAATAAGAGAAATGCAAGATTGCCAGGCCATGGAGACTATAAGGGTTGGATTTATGCCTTTTTGTTCCTAGAAAGATCCCTAAAATGTAAGCTTCATGATTCTTTCCTTTCAAGGAAACAGTGTGGTTATGTTTATTCTCTTGGTTGGGAGGCCAAAGTTTTTTTTATGTTACTATTTCAGGTTGTATACAGATTGAAATTGACTAAGATGGTTTTCATGGCCTTCACCTTGACTAAGCTGTAAACAGGCTACTTCCTGAACTTCAGATCTTTGGTCTCCCTTTTCTCAGAGAATTTACTTCAGAAAACTTGTACTTGTTAAGTTCTTTCTCTACCCCTCTGAGATGTAAGTAATTTTTAAAGCCTTTTTGCCAGTTTTACAACCCAGGAATCTTGTTCTTAAGGCCCCAGAAGCATTCTCTTTGAAATGTCAGCTTCAAGGATGATAGTAGTACCCCTATCTTCCAGTTTTTGTGGGAAATAGATGTATAATTTGAGTGAATGTCTTGCTCTGAGTTGTAAAACTACATTATGTCCCAAAGATAGGAAAATGTTTACTTTTCCTTTAGGTAAAGCCAAACAGTAAACACCGATGGTCTGTGTTCTCTCATAACACTTAAAAATCTCTCCTTCCCTTTGTTTCAGCAGAATTAAAGACTGAACTTTGTTTTTCTCCCCTATTGCAACAGCCTTGAATACATACTTGTCTACTTGCTTACCTTTGTCCAGTGCAATATTTGCTTGGACAAAATATAATTTAAAAATAATTGAGGTCGGGTGCTGAGTAGCTCAGTCAGTTAAGTGCCTGACTCTTGATTTTGGCTTAGGTCATGACCTCAGGGTTGTGAGATCCAGCTCTGTAGGGCTCCATGTTCAGTGGGGAGTCAGCTTGAAGTTCTCTCTCCTTCTCCCCCTGCCCTTCCACCCTGCATGGGAACTCACTCTTGTGCATGCATGTGCTCTCTCTCTCTCTCTTTCTTTAAAATAAATAAATGAATCTATTTATTAGATTTTATTTAATAAATAAAAATAACTGAGGCTGGGAAATGTGTATGTCTGTCTATCACATTACTACTTTGAGATAAAGCACCCAGAGCATGAGCATTTTTCTTTTCAAAGAGTCTTCATTTACTGATTAAGTGTTATAGGAGCAAACTCCCCTCTATGAGAAGCCAAATCCTCCTTCAGGAAGACAGATTCCCACTAGTCCCACAGCATTTTGGTCCTAGTAGCTGATCTTCGCAATGCCAACCTCTTGTTTCCCGTAACCAAATACGCTACAAAAACACAGCTCCTTAAACTTGGGTCCTGCTGCTTTGATCATCAATCCCTAACCTACAGTTTTTCTTGTTTCACAGCATGATTGAGAGTTCACGCAAAATAAGCCACATGCCATTTCAAATTATATATATACATATATATATATATATAAGTTCAATTCATACTATCTACCTTGGCTTCTATCACAAGACTTTATTATAATGTCTCCCCTTACCACAATAATCTTGAAAATTAGTAAAATGTTTTAAATGAATATGAGCCCTGATAATGTTTCGGATAGCAGGTTTTACGCCTTCTAACTCTTCAGGTGTCACATTATATCAATATTTATTCCCTCATCTAATTCTTCTCCACTCAGACTATGAGCTTCTGGAAGGTGAAGACATCTTATTCATTAGTTTATTCTCCAGAGATACAGCTGATACTTGCACACTTAGAAACGTTCAACAAATGTTTGCTAAACTGGCAAACTTATTTGAATGTACTAAATATAACATAATGCAAAGGTCATTAGAAAATGTCCACATAGTAGATCAGGAAGAAAAAATCTCAAAATGTAGTCATTCCCATAACTCTAAGTATCTTCATTGTCCTTTTCAGCTAAGTTTGTCAAGTCCACCTTAAATGTTCTGTGAAGATTTTAATATTAAAATAATAAATTTTAAGGAGAAAAGAGTTATTTCAACCCATACTTTCCAAAAAGAAAGAAAAGGATAATATATTTCTCTTCCTGATGCTCTCACCATGGACATTAAAAAATTCTTATTTAATAATTAATAACCTCTTTGCTCCACTCCCAAGCTCACTCTATTGACTATTTATTTTTATAAGCTTATTAAGACCTTTGTAGATGGGAATAGGGTATATGTACACATATATACATCTGTGAGTCCATGACAAATGAAAAGGTAGTCTGATTTTTCCCTGATAACCTTTTAACTGAAAAAGAGAAAGATACAAACTAAGCACATTTTAACCTTTAAATTCTCAAATTCTAAAATTCTCAAGACATCAACATGAAGCTATAATTCTTTTACTGTACCTGTATATGCAAACTGCACAAGGTCCCAGAGGGCATTGGGGTCTATGCCTTCCATCTTGATCTCCTCTTGCTTGGCCTCACAAACATCACTTGTAAACATGGCAGCAAAATAGTCGGAGACTGAGCTCAGAACAAGCCTGAAAGAGTCATAGGGTCCGGTTTAGGTCATGAATGTAAAGCAGCAGATGCTAAGTGTCAATAAGAATGTAGTACAGGGGCACCTGGGTGGTTCAGTCGGTTAAGCTGAAACTTTTGGTTTCAGCTCAGGTCATGACCTCAGGGTCATGAGATGGAGCCCTGTGTCAGGCTCCACACTCAGTGTACAGTCTTCTTAAGATTCTCTCTGCCCCTCCCACCTCACTCACTCTTTCTCTCTAAAATAAATAAATAAATCTTTAAAAAAATGCAGTACAAAGGTACTCTATCTACCTACCTATCATCTATGTATCTCTGTAGCTATCTATCATCTATCAATCTATTTATTGCCTTATAGATTATACTTTTCAAAACTGAGTTAGGAAATTTTGTACCACCTTTGGTCACAGAACATCCTCCTATCATTTTATTTTATTTTATTTATTTTTTTTAAAGATTTTATTTATTTATTTGACAGAGAGAGATCACAAGTAGGCAGAGAGGCAGGCAGAGGCAGAGAGAGAGAGAGAGGGAAGCAGGCTCCCTGCTGAGCAGAGAGCCCGATGCGGGACTCGATCCCAGGACCCTGAGATCATGACCTGAGCCGAAGGCAGCAGCTTAACCCACTGAGCCACCCAGGTGCCCCATCCTCCTATCATTTTAAATACACACCTCCCCATTTAGTTTTCTTCTCTCATTTGCAATACACATTCTTTCTGTCATATTTAGTTCTTCCATCCTTTCGGATGAGAATCCAATTATTTCTGTCTATATACTCACTTTTTAACCACACTATCTACTAAAGACTCTGATTATTCCCCACTGAATGAATGGTGCTTCTATATTGAGAATTTGAGTCCTGAATGTAAAGTTATCTATCTCTGAGATTTCTATTGTTTTTGCTTATTCGCCTGCTCTTGTGACAATATAATATTCTTTTCAATGCTATGAGTCTAAGTATGTCTTTATAACCATATGAGACAAGTCCTCCGTCTTATTTTTATCTATTAGTGAAGTTTTATTCGTCTTTGTTTTAAGTTTGTTAAGTTCTTTGAATAAGTTAAATGGAATTTTAATTAAAAATGTACAGAATTTCTGATTTTGGTGATCTTTGGTATAATTTATAATATAAAGTCACCCAGCACAAAAGTATAAAATATCTCTCCATGTATTCACGATATCCTGTCTGCTTTCTATTCAAATTTTAAAGTTTTCCCTAAAATTGCCTTATGTATTCTTGGTTGATTTTTTTTCATACCTTAAAGTGTTGTTGGCATTATGTGTAGTAACTTTTTAAAAAAAATCTTCTTGTGTTTTTTTTTTAATATTTTATTTATTTATTCGACACAGATATCACAAGTAGGCAGAGAGGCAGGCAGAGAGAGAAAGGGGGAAGCAATCTCCCTGGTGAGCAGAGAGCCCGATGTGGGGCTCGATCCCAGGAACCCGGGATCATGACCTGAGCCGAAGGCAGAGACTTAACCCACTGAGCCACCCAGGTGCCCCCTTGTGTTGGTTTTTATTGGTTTAAAATTCATTAGTTGAATCTTTCTTAAATATATCTTTTATCTGGCACATTTACTGAATTATCTTACTAGTTCTTTTGACTCTGCTATTTTTCTTTCTGGGTAGATGATTATATCACCGGCAAATAATCCCATTTTACATTATTCTTGTTTGTTTTCTATAACTGTTTTTCTTTTGATTTTCTTAAAACCTCATCCAGGACCTCTAGTATTCCAGTGGTGTGTTGAACAGTCACTGTGCCGGGGCGGGGTGGGGGGGTGGATTTCTGTTTTTCTCTATCTTCAAAGGAACAAATCTAAAGATTCTCCTTTTAGTAAGATACTTGCTGAGTGTATTACTATGTAAATTTACCATGTCAGAAAGTCCCCTTCAGTTTCTAGCTTTATTAACAACTATTATAAAATATGGGTGTTAAAATTCACAAAAGACCTTTTATCTCAATCAAAATTATCTTTAGGATTTTCTATTTATAGTCACAAGAGAGATAAATCTATAATTTTCTTTTGTAGTAATTTCTTATCAGACTTTTGAGTTAATATTACATAGCCTCATAAAATGAGGTGGCAACTTCAACTCTTTTTAATTTTGTATAATGATTTATAGAAGAAAGCAATTAATTTTTCCCTTAAGATGTTCCATAACTTACCTGAAAAAATATCTTGATTTGACTATTTTGAGAAAAGGTGACATGATCTCATTTTAATTACTTAATAAACTACAAGGATTATTTTTTGTGCTCTGTCTTCATTATCCACTCTTACATTTCACATTTTGAAAGATTTACACATTTTATCTTGGTTCTAAAATTTATTGATGTATAGTAATGTATATAACATTACATGTGGCTTTAATTCTACATATATATTCTCTGTTCATTTGGGTGAATCTTTTTATTGTCTTTTAAAAAATAATCTCACTCATTAACATTTTAGCTACATCCTTTTTGCATATTGATGAAAGTTTTTTTTTAATATCAGTAGTTCTTGAGTAGGGATCCAAATTTTTTTTCTATAAAAGGGCAGATATTACACATTTTAGGCACTGAGAGTCACATATATAGTCCATCACACAGTTCTTTTTCAAAAAATAATTTTCAGTTGATTAAAATTAGAAAAATAACTTTTAGCTCATGATCTTTGTAAAATAAGATTTCACCCCTGCACAGAAGTTTGCTGACTTTGTCCAAAGATTGTAATATTGATCTTTAACTAATAGCAGTATCATCAAATAAAATTATACTACCATGAATATTATAAGAGCCTTACAACAGCATAATTCTGTTTACCCAATCCTGGTCAACCAAGAATTTCTTTAAAGAAGATCATATATGTGAAAGTAAAAATTTATTTTATATTTATCCCCTTCTTCACCTTTTCTGGGGCGCTATTCATTTCTGAAGAAGTATACTTTTATCTGGTATCAATAACCTTAAACTGGAAGAAATTTTTTTTAGTATTGTACTGCAGGTGTGATAACAATAAATTCTCCCAATTTTCATTTATCTATAAAGGTCTTTATTTAGCTGCATTGGAAATATCTTGAAAAGTTATTTTCTCTTGATATAGAATTCTAGCTTTTGGGACTAAGTAAATAACATTCTATTATGAACTAGGCTCCAATGTTTCTAATAGAAAATCAGCTGTTTTCGTATAATTGTTTTCCTGATTTACTATGTCCTTTATATCTAATTGTTGTTACTTTTTTTTCCTCTTTATCTTAGGATTTTAACAATTTGATATGCTTAGGTGTGGTTTATTCATATTTACCCTGATTATGGTTTTCTAAGCTTTCTAGAGCCGTGGATGGACATTTTTTTATCAAATTCCAAATTTAGAATTCACGTTCTCTTTCTAGGACTCTAATTACATATATGTTTCACTAACTGACAGTGCCTCACTGGTTGTTCAGTCTTAGTTCATCTTCTCTCAATTTTTCTTCTACTCTGTGTTTTACTGTAGATGAATTTTAGTGACTTGAATTTTTCCAAATCTTTCTTAATATTCCCACTGCTTTATTCATTATATTTATCTTTTCCTGTAGATATTTTAAATTACTTTTCATAGTTGCTTTAGCCCTTTACTGATAATTTTAACACCTGAATCATCTCTAGGTTGGTTTCCACTTACTGATTTTACTCTTGACAACGAATTACATTCTTCTGTTTTTCCCAATGTATTGCAATTTTCAGTTGTATAATGGTCATTAAAAAAAAATTGAGGCTAAGAAGGGAATGTCATTCTCCTCTTTGCTTATTTAAATTTCTTCTCTTGCTTATGCCACAGGTTTCTGATAGCTTTAAAGAAAAGATATAAATATTTCATTTTTTGATGATTTGTTGTCATTTTAAGGGGAGTGAAGATTTTTCATGTACTTTTTCCTAAGTGGAGGGATGCCTAGGTGGCTCAGTGTGTTGGGTGTCTAACTCGATTTCAGCTCAGGTCCTGATTTTGGGTCATGGGATCAGTCATACACCAGGCTGCATGCTCAGTGCTGAGTCTGCGTCTCCCTCTCCCTTCCACCCACCCTATGCGTACACTTTCACTAGCTCTAAAATCAATAAATAAACAAATAAATCTATCTTTAAAATCCTAAGTGGAAATATAAATTTCAAAAACATTGAGTAAAAGTTTTGACAATATATTCTGATTCCAAAAAATAAGAACTATTAAAAAAAATGCATTGTGGTTAAGAGGTATGTTTTTCATAGTTGTTTAAATTAGAAATTCTGAAACTTCTTTCTGCATAGAACAGATTAAATTAGTACATTCTTAAAGACAATCAGAGAAAGGTTACTCATTGATGGAAAATGGTGTTACAAATATGTAAATGGAGACTAAAATAAATCCTATGACTCTGGACTAAAATCAGACATATCAGTGTAAAATTACAGTTCTAAATTAAAAAAAAAATAGATTTGGCTCAGGTCGTGATCTCAGGGTCCTGGGATTGAGCCCCACATTGGGCTCTCTGTTGAGCAGGGAGCCTGCTTCCCCTCTCTTTCTGCCTGCCTCTCTGCCTGTTTATGATCTCTCTCTCTGTCAAATAAATAAATAAAATCTAAAAAAAAAGGTCGGGGGGTTGCCTGGGTGGCTCAGTGGATTAAAGCCTCTGCCTTCGGCTCAGGTCATAATCTCAGGGTCCTGGGATGGAGCCCCGCATTGGGCTCTCTGCTCGGTGGGGAGCCTGCTTCCCTCTCTCTCTACCTGCCTCTCTGCCTGCTTGTGATCTCTCTCTCTGTCAAATAAATAAACAAAATCTTTTAAAAAATTAAAAAAATAGAAATACTGTTGGTGCATGTATATGTACATTAAGGGATCCTTGGAAAAAAAAAAAAAAGACTACAGGGCTGAAATACGGAAAGCACAAGATGAACCTAGAACATCTTCTGTTCTTGAAAGTGAGGAAATGTTACAAAGTGATGGGGTATATGTCAAAAGAACCAAATGTGATGTTTACATCTGTAAGCTAAACAACA